GTAGATATGTAAAATCAATTGACTTGAGAAATGTTGAGCCAGCAGTGCCTTGTTGATGACCAACATAAGAGAAAAAACAATGTTTGATATGACGTACTGACATAATTGCATCAGCCTTGACAACATTATTTAGTAAATATGTATAAATGTAAGGCCTTTCATCTACATTTATAAACTTAAGAAATTAAAATCTAAGTGAAATGAAATTTTTGGTGTCATTAATTCAGATATATACAGAAGACAAAATTCTAATCTATACTGAAATCAAAAAGAAACAATATGTTCTTGATTTAAAACCACATGAGAGTGTAAATGTATAGTATTGAATAGGGGTTAATGTCATTTCAACACAATAATTTGATCATTCTGACACAACCACATTTTCTTCTCTTTTTTTTTATTGCGACTCGGTACTCTGGAATGGTGAGTATTCAGTACTTTTCAAAAATTGTACCTGATAAAGTACATGATGTTGCTGTCCATTAAGCCATGGGTTACTCTAATTAATCATCTTTCAGTCATATTTTGGAATCTCATCAAACAAATCTGTTACAGATGGATACAAAAAAGATTACTAGTTTAAATTTGTTTACTGTGGCAAGATTAACAGTGGACTTGTCATCAAAAGAGCATGAAACACAAATTCAGAGGTTAGTTGGTCAGTGACCAATTTCAAGCATCATACATACTGAACTTATTTTCTTGTGCTTTTCATAGATCAGTTTGACTGAAATAGGTATTATTATATTCATTTGCTCTATTACATATTGTTCTAATAGATCTTCAAACCTTATTCTGCAAAAGATAAGCACATTACTTGTCTAAGCTCTGAATAAGCCATTGCCATGGGTACTCAAAACAAACCGATTAACTGCGAATGAAAAATAAGAAACCTGATTAGAACCCGATTACTGAGTAATCCTTGGATATAGCAAATACCAAATCAAAAAAAAAAAGAATTTAAAAAATAAGACATCATCAAACACATTTAAGATTGTCATGTTGAATTATAATAATGTTAATCCTTCCTCTACAATGGTACACAATGTACTTATAAACTTTTATCCATATAGTATTCAACAAAAAAAAAGAGTTAAGCATTCTGGTTGCTTGATAATAACATATATTGATGGTATGCCACAAGTGGCTGTATCCTGAGTGTTGAGCAGTGTCAAGACAAACCAACCATCCGATTTACCTTATCGCTAACTAAATTTGTTTATCAGAACTGTATACAATTCTTCCTTTTGATCCCTTGTCCCCAATATTGACACCTATTGTTCTCCTTTAAAACAAACAGCTCTCTTCATACAGCCAAGTGCAGGGAGACTTTGTTTTGTTTGGCTTGATTCGTTGCGGATCTAACTCTGGTTGTGAAGAGTTTAGTAGACCTCACATACTAATCTTGTGCTAAGAAAATGATCAGGCTTCTCAAAACTCGCACTCTAATCCACAAATATAACTAATATGTTTTGGGTTTTTTTCTTCCTAGTTTTCATTTTAAAACTATTTTTTTTTTATTTCATATTGCTACAACAGAGCATCTTTTTTCAGATCTTAGCATTTGGAGCTTGGTGTTAGATAACAAATAAATAAACAACAAGCTGACATGTACACTTAAATGTTCGACTTTAAAAGTTATACGATCAGAAGGAGGCACGGCACTGCTGAATGTTGATGCATAAAATTATGACAATTATATTTGTCAATCAGTGGTGCTTTTCTGACATTAAATAGTATTAATGAACAAATTACATTTATTGACCTTAAAATTCTATCCCAGCACAGGAAATAGGCTGAAGCTTTTATTCCCTTTAATTTAATATTAAAAGGCTTAAACAAAAAATATTTCTTGATATTTTGTTATGTAGCATATGATATTCTAAAATGATATTTACGTTTATGGCAAAAATAATGAAAATCTGGTACACCTACTCGTTATTATCCATATTAAATTTATGAACCGGCTTTAGTAATATTCCTGATTAATTACGTCCTCAGTTATATGATAAATACTGAAAACGAAAAGTCTGTGATGTCTTATCTTCTTTATTAAAAGGTATTGAGCGTAATCAATCGTGAAAAGATATAGCAGACTTCCATGTACAGATTGTGCAGTTTCTGGGCCATATTTAAGCTTTTATAGTATGCAATGCCTTATATGGTATGTGGTATTATAATATGGTAATTAGAGTTCAAAGCATTGATTGGTATGACAGTGACCCATAATTATGCAAGGTGATGGTAGAATTGCAAAATTTATGTGAAAGCATTGATTGGTATGACAGTGACCCATAGTCATGCAAGGTGATGGTAGAATTGCAAAATTGCCGTGAATTTTCCAATGGAGTCTTGGAAAATCAATCGTTTCTACATCCTCTTCCTCTTGTGAGCTAGATGTATTCCCAACCCATCTTGTTAAAAGCTGTTCTACAGAACTTTGTCCTAATCTTTGTACATCCCTATCTACTAGAAAAATTCCTGATGAGTTGAAAGAAGCGTTGTTTTTTCCACTTCTCAAGAAGAATACATTAGAATACAACATCTTAAAAAGCTACAGACCTGTTTCAAACCTGTCTTTCATCTCCCAAACTTATTAAAAAGGCTGTAGCAGCACATTTCAAAGCCCATCTGAAGTTACACAATCTTAACGAACCCTTCCAATCAGCATACAGAAACAAGCATAGTACAGAAACAGCCTAACCTTGTGTAAATAATGATATCCTTACCAGTCTTGACAATAAAAATATGGTGTTACTGGTTCTTCCTGATTTAAGTGCCGCTTTCGACCAGTCACTACTGTTAGAACGGCTTCATAATGTTTTCTGATGTTAAGTCTTCCTCTCTAGAACTTAAATTCGGTGTGCCTCAGGGATCGGTGCTCGGACCATTGCTCTTTACTGCTTACACTAAATTCGGTGTGCCTCAGGGATCGGTGCTCGGACCTGTGCTCTTTACCGCTTACACTAAATTTGGTGTGCCTCAGGGATCGGTGCTTGGACCATTTCTCTTTACCGATTACACTAAATTCGGTGTGCCTCAGGGATCAATCTGAATTATGATGTCTATGTTGATGATACTCAACTCTACATTTGAATTAAACCCGAAAATGAATCTCTTTGAGTGCGTAAACTTTAATTGTGCATTGAAGCTATTAATTGCTGGATGAAAAAGAACTTCTTAAAGCTCAATGATGATAAAAATGAGTTCGTGCAAATCGGTTTTAATCATCTTTTATCCAAAATACCTGTTAGTAATATTTCAATCGGTAATATTGTTGTTAACCTGGTTAATAGTGTTTGAAATCTTGCTATAATTTTGGATAAGAAAATGAACATGAATGCTCACATCTCCTTAATCTGTAAAGCTTCCAACTTCACAAAATAGGACGGATCCGCAATTTCCTCGACATTGACCCTATGAAACCATTAATTAACTCTTTGGTGACCTCGCCTCTAGACTACGGCAACTCGTTACTCTACAACTTACCAGCATATTGTATTAATAAACTACAAAAGATTCAAAACAAAACTGTGAGAATTGTTACAAGAACTAAATTATACGCCAATATTACCCCCGTTTTGAAGTACTTCACGGGCTAACAATTACGACCAGAATCGATTTTAAAATTCTCATGCTGACTTTCTGTGCTTTGTCATGTGATGACTCTCCTTTATATATTAAAGAATTAATTCAACCCTACCACCTTACCAAAAATCTTTGTTCCAAAACTAAGTACCTTAGTAACTGCAAACTCTTCTTTCGGAAGATGTTCCTTTGCTTTTGCGGCAGCAGAACTGTGGAATTCTAAAGATTTTCCTATAGAACTTAAGTGCCGTGCTTCAATTGAGTTTTAATTAAAAGGAATCTTAAAACCCATCTTTTTAGTAACGTTTTCTTTTAACTGTTGATCGCGTACTCTTTTTAACTGACCATCATTGTACAAAGAGCAGCTTCGGTTGTATTTTAGGACAATATTGTTATTATCATAAAAATTGCTTGTTATGTATCAACAAGTACAACATATTTTGTTGTAGAGTTAATATTTCTTTCATTGACATGGAAAATGATTAAACTGTGTGATGGCGATCGACATCAGCACTATTTGCATTTACATAAATATAGAAAATAATTTTGGATATCAGTAGGCTACTTATTTTACATGTCATGAACAATCGGCAACCTTGTGTATTTATGTGATTATCATAAATGAGTTAAATGTGCTAATTACTTGGATCATGAACTGAATTAGACAGCATTCACCACATTTAAGGTATGCCATTTAAGGATTAGCAGGTAAGTTGATTGACAAGTAATAATCAACAAGTATTAATCAACTCTTTGTAGACTATAGTGACGGAATCATTTTATTTACATCAAAAGCTGCAGCAGACTATAATCGAATGATAAAGATCCCTGTATGAAACCCATCATAGCTGCACCGCAGGTCTAGCTATAAGTTATGTCTGTTTATCTAAATGTATGCATTGTTTGTTTCGTTCTTATTTTGTTGTGCGGTTATCCTGCATAGGGTGGAAGGGGAGATGCCCCAAGCTACATTAACTATGTTATTTTGGAACTAAGATATATTTATTTCGGCACATAAGTTTTTTGGAGTGGACGACCCATGAGGTTCGGCAGCTACCCTAGGCCTTGTCATATAAATGCCTAGGATGAAAACCATTACTTTCATAGTAAACAGACATTATAATCTACAGGGATTAGATCACTCAGCCATTCAACTATTGAGAAGCTATAAATTTAACCAAATATTGAAAAAAAAAAACCTCTTATCATTTAACAACGAAAATAAAAAAATTATATTTATTTTATAAAGTGTATATATTCATTCACCTGATTTTATATGAATCAAAATAAAAGAGTTATGAATGTACAAAGATTTCATTCTGTCATATCATGGTTTTGTTGAAAATACGCAATCCCGGGTATCTTTCTGATCAAATACATTCAACATGACGAGTCACTTTATTTGTCTGCGGATTAAAAGTATTTAAAAAGATTTGCCTGAAATAATTAAAATATAAGGTTCCCACTGTGTCTTAATCACATCCCTTCATTGTATTGATTAATTCCTTGGGAAAAGGGAGTGTTATTTAGTGTTTGAAAACAAAATTAATCCCAGTATTAAGCTGCGACTGTGTTGACCTTTAATCCTGTGGACAGACTAAGTTCACAGACAATCTATGATGACATACCTTGATAAAAGAAAAAAAATAATATCAAGATATTTTACATTACTAGATTAGAAGAACAAATCTTTGATTTCCCTTGGCTTTGTATTGCATTCTTTACATACTATGACACAAACATTTTCCTTGTGGGATATTAATTTATTTCATGTTAAAGTAGCACCAACTAAAAGCCAAATGCCAAAAATACCAGAGGCTTTTATCAATAATCAATATTTTACACAAAATAAGGACAAATCTTTTAGTTATATATATATAAATATAAATATTTCAATTGTAAGTTATCTCTTTGTCTATTTTTAAATTTAAAAAAAACAACTTTTTAAAGAAAACCTTACATTGTTGATTCAAAATTATTTTTGTACACGAAAGTTATAATTAATAATTAAATTTATTCACCCATGCCCATCAGTCCATACCAAAATCAACCCATAAATATGTGTATAATTCCAGTCTCAAAGATAGCTTGTAAAAAAAAAATTAAAAAAAAATTACATAACTTTGACCCATGGACCAATTACCTGAACAGGTTTAGAGAAACAAAAACCCAAGATTTGCACGACTCTGACTTTGAATGTTAGTCATTGTGGCATTGAATTCCAGGGTGGAAACATCAGTTTAATTGTTTTAGTGACCAGAAAACAAATTTTGATATGCGTCGGCTTACCCAAAATGAAAGGTTACGTGCCCTTGGCATGCTACAGATCGGCACAACACAGGCGGTTGTGGCGCGGACGATGAATGTTTCTCAGTCTGTCATAAGCAGGCTATGGTCCAGATACCGTGATACACAATCTGTACAGGACAGACCACGGGCGACAACTCAAGCCCAGGATCGATTTATCCGTACCTTGGCCTTGAGAAATCGTGTCATCACAGCAAATCAGATCAGCGCTCGTCTTCAAACAGACACTGGTGTGAGAGTGAGTGGCCAGACGATTCGGAATTGACTGCATAGGGGTCACCTTCGCGCCCGACGTCCTCGCGTGATCCCTTGTTTGAGAGATCATCACATTCAGGCAAGACGTCGTTGGTGTAGGGATCGTCAACACTGGGATAATCGTCGCTGGAGCAATGTGATGTTTTCAGATGAGTCAAGGTTCACTGTTGATTTTTTGGACAGACGTAGGAGGGTGTGGCGTCGTCAAAACGAGCGCTTCCAAGACGTTAATGTCATCAGACATGATCGATTTGGGGGTGGTTCTGTTATGGTGTGGGGAGGCATCACTGTTGCTGGAAGAACGGCTTTACATGTTGTTGCAGGGCGTGTTACAGGCCAGTACTACCGGGACAACATCTTGGCAGTCCATGTTGTGCCGTTCGCACGACGTCATGGCCGCCGTTTCATCTTCCAGGATGACAACGCAAGATGTCACAGGGCCAGGATCGTTACAGGTTACCTCCAACAACAGAACATCACCACATTACCTTGGCCCGCACTGAGTCCCGACCTCTCCCCCATCGAGCATGTCTGGGACATGCTTGGACAGAGGTTACGTCAACGTCAACAACGTCCTGCCAATGTCCAAGAACTTGCTGCTGCGTTGCAACAGGAATGGGACAATCTGGACCAAAATGACCGTAGACGTCTCATTGGGAGTATGCCACGTCGGATCAATGCTTGTTTGGCAAACAGAGGAGGATTTACCCGTTACTGACTTGGTTGTGATGCTGTGGTAACTTTGCTGTTTGACCCCGGGTATCATTTTACCCTTATAATGGTCAGTCTGTGCCTTACTTAGTCTAACGATCATTTGGAATAAATCGATGAATGTGAACTTCATTTCATTTTGTCATTTGTTTCTTCGTCAGTTTCATTAGGTGACTTTAATAACACTTAAAAATCAAATATCCCCTACTTTTTTTGAATAGTATATAAAAATAGTCTAAAATACATTGGACCTTGTCTCTGGAATAATCTACCTATCTCAATTAAAAACACAACTGTACTATCAGACTTTAAGGCGAATATTCTTTTAAAGATACATTGACATTCCTAACTTTAGTAAACCTTATGTACATAATTTTAATTCATAATAGAGAAGGTAGTTAACCTTACTGCATTTTTTTTTTTTTTTTTTCATTGTTGTTCTTGTTGTTCTTATATTGTTTTGTTACGTTTCAAGGGCAGAATTGTAAAAAGGCCTGGCCTAATTTCTTACCATAATAAAGATATTATTATTATTAAAACCCCCCTAAGTCAGAACCCCCTCTGGTCAAAACCCCCCATTTTTATATTATATAATATTAAAATCATTTCAAAATTATGTTTTTGTGGTTTGTGAAGTGAAGTACACAACAAAATCAATTATTTTTATATTTTATTTGCAATTATATGGGTGAAATTATTTCCATTGGATGGTGTGCCCAATACCTTTTATGGTTTGCAAACAAGTTGTAAAGTCTTTCTTGTAGATCTTCTGTTGTATTTTGGTGGTTGTCTGCCTGAGTATTGCATGAGTGCATTCTTGACATTGCTGTGATCCAGATGGAGATGTTCGAGAGGCCGCCGCCAGATTGTGGGGTCTGATATTCCCAGCAGGGCACTAAACGCCCTGTTCCAAGACTCACATAGATTGTTAGTGCGAGACCCACCACCAAGTGTTGTCAGATGAACATTCCCGAGTTCTGCTGGGAATAGGGGGGGTATAGGAGATTTTAAATTGTAGCGCCATGACTTCAGTTGAGATTGATCAGATAATTGCTTTTCACTTGAATGATTACAATAACTGAGGCTATGTTATTCCTAGTAAAAAGCAGATTATGTTATGTTAATGTGTGGTCAATTGTCTTAGTTGGTCATCATATTTTTTTTTTTTAAAAATATTTTATTTTTCAAATATTTATTTTTAAATAATAATAAATAAAGGAAATAAATTAATATAAAAAAAAATAATAAAAAGGGGGGGGGGGGTCCGTTTTTAATTTAAGTCCCAGGGGGTTTTGACCAAGGGGGTTTTGACACTGACCGGACAAAACACACTAAAATAATAGTCATATTATACTTCTGAAAGAGAACAGTTTTCAAGTTTGATTTGAATGAAGTTAAAGTTTGTTGGGTTTTAAGGAAAAGTTCAATAAAGTTGCTGCATTATATGAAGATGTTCAAGCCTCATTGGTTTTCAGTTTATATGTGGGAGTATCCAGAAGAAACTGATCTGAAGAATTTAGAAGAACAAAGTCCCGGAAATGGAGCAGATGTAGTGATTTTTGAAGGAATCAAGATTTTAACGCCAACAGTAATTATCAGAATTCGCTGAAAATCAATCGTCAAATTTCAAATCAATAGGTTGATAAATTTATCCTCTAGATTCTAGAGCATACACATATGTCCACGTTATCAAGGGACATAATTTTGACATTAATTATCAGAAATTGTTAAAAATCAATAGACTTCAATAAAGAATTACTTTATCCTGAGCGAAGTAATCAGTGTTTGTAGTTTTGACAAGATGTGTTCATTGATTGTTCATTATCGTAACCATGATGCTGGTAATTTGAGTCTTAGCCTTACTTCTCCATTTTTGAATTAAATCATTAAATTGCCGTACCGTTCTGATCTACTTAAATTCGGAGCCATTCAATGGCATCGAGAGTTGATTATGGTCTTGTCATGTTAATAAATGTCTAATTAATAATTTATATAATATTTAAGGCTTTAAGAAAGGCTGGCAATAGGCAGATTTAACTCTTGAATAACGAATGCCCCAGTAAGATGATTTTTATTTTCATCCCTTAACCTTTATTGCTTTCAAAATTATTTAAAAGTCAGATTCATTTCAGAATGACAAATAGTTTGTAATTAGAAAGCTGATAGTCCTGTAGTTATAAAATAGGGAATGTACATCAGGCTACATGTTGTGTACCTATATTTTCTCCACATGTTTTAATAAGTGTTATTTTTTTGTAGTAAAAAAACAAAACAAAACAAAAAATAACAGAAGGGATAATGCCAGAGTGGCAACCCCACAATATGCAGTCTAACTGTCCTGTCAGCCTTGAAAATTATTGACATTAAAGAAAGAAATCTTAAAGAAAACAAGTACAACAGAACATTTTTAAAGCACCAAGAGATAATTTTCTGGAAAAAGGAACTAAATGAAAGCTAAATAAAAAAAGAAGAAATCTTGAATATAATATTAAATTTTAGCTACAAAGTCCAAAAAATAAAACTCATTGACAAAAATGTCTTCATCAAGAGATGTATATCAAACTAGGGACTTCTCTTTTCACATTCTGTCAAGATTCCTTCACAAAAAAAATGAAACTTCATTGCCAGATGATATCATTAAATTCACTGTCAGTCACCCTTGTTATGACTGGCTCAGTAAACCCTGTATAAATTCAATGTGAAAAAAAGGCATTATCAAAATTATTCCTTTTACGCCTCATAACATGTAATTTATAGAAAGAAAAACAAAAATGCTTCCGATTACTTTGGGGGTCAATTTTTTAGAAGCTGCACTTAGGAGCCAGAAGAATGATGACATGCTATCCAGGCAGGGGTTGCAATCAAATTCTGACATTTTTCATTAATAACTGGCCAGTGCTTGTCAAATCGCTCTCACATTTTTCCCTATGACAAACAGTTAATAACAAAGATTGGTTTAAAAATCAGCTCACACACAGTGAGGCCTTAACTAGAAAATTCATCTGTTGTTTAATTAGGAGACAAAACCAGTTTTTCTACAAAATCAATAATTTCAGAAATTTTTACCATGCACATGTACTGATTACATGATATGAAATGTGACAGGAGTGAAAGCCTTGACCCGTTTCTGCTGTATTTACCACTGACATTTTAAATAATTAAAGTTGATATGTAAGGTATTTAGATATAATTTTCAAAACCTTTTATTAAAACTCTAATGAGAATAGTAAAGTAATAGGAAGTAATAAATGTAGGTTTGACAACTACTGATGTATTATATGTCATACATATATTTATTCAAACGTTAATGAATATTATGTAAGCTCATCCAAAATTTGAATAAGTAAATGAAATA